TGATGAGAGAGGATCCTGGATGGGCTGCCTCCTGTAGGGCTGTCCCTGGGGATTGAGCCCACAACACGGACATGTGCCCTTGACCAGAATCAAGCCCAGGACTCTTCAGTCCACAGGCCGACGCTCTATCCACTGAGCCAAACCGGCTAGGGCAAAAACTTGAGCTTTTAGAAGGATCTGTTTTCCAACCAAGATCTCTCCCCCAAGTTGGTCTGGGAAGTGAGCAAGTGTTTTGTTGGTTGTGTGTGTGTTTTTTAAAAAAGATTGCCCTCTTTTGTAGTTTGCAGGCATTTTACTATCAAAGTTAATACTAATGAGGGCCAGTCGTGTAGCTGACAGTCTGCCAAGCTCTTTACAGCATAAAGAACACAATGATATGACTTTAGGTCTTAATGTAGGGAATCCTTCCAAACGCCAGCGCCTGTCTGCCCCTCGGCTGGGGGAATTCCTGGAACACTGAGGCAGCTCTGGGCTTCTGGTATTCTCAGCAGGAGGTCCGAGGACAGGCTCAGTGAGGTGCATGGCTCCTGGCCCCCCACATATCTCGTGCTGAGGCCGCTCTATGATTGAACTCAGTCATCATCCATAGGCCCGGAACTTGGAATTGAGTTGGAAGGGACAGGACTATTTGCTCTGTGGTTTAGAAAATATAATGTTGCCCTTTTCTGGTTCCTAAAATGTATATCCTTGTAAAACTCTCAGCATAAATACGCTTTTCTCTATTTTTCAATAAGAAGAAAGGGGAGGAGGGGAACTCTGCAGCTCAGTAAGAGCAACTTATGGCCTGAACTAGGGACTTACATGAATATTCCCACATTGACAACAGTCTGAGGGAGGTTTTCCCACAGAAAGGAGAAGGCCTCATTAACGATACTCCTCAGTGGAACACATCGAAGGTTTCTCAACTGCCTCCCAGTGCCAGGCGGTCTTTGGATTCAGGGAACCCCTCCCCCAAAAGCCGACGTGGTTGAAGCATTTACATCATTCACAAAAGGCCAAGTGGCCCTTGGAATAGAGAAAAGGGGCCCTGGCCAGCATAGCTCAGCTGATTGAGTGTTGTCCCACACACCTAGAGGTCACTGGTTGGATCCCAGTCAGGGCACATGCCCAGTCTGGGCTCTATCTCCCGTTGGGGAGCATGCTGGAGGCAGCGAATGGATGTTTATCTCTCTCCCTCTCCCTTCCTCTTTCTCTAAAAACCAATAAAAACCTATTTTTAAAAAGATAAAAGGACTAAACAGTCTCAGAATGAAGTTTAAGTATGACCCAGACATTATGGAGGAATGCTTATACTGAAAATCTATCTACTTTTTATCAGAAACTCACGTTTAAATAAGTGTTCAGTGTTTTGTCTGGCGGCAAAGCCAATGGAAAAAGGCTTGCAGTCAAAATGTCTTAAACAGGAGGGAACCTGTTTGTCAGGAACTTTGAAAGTATCTGGTAATAAATAAGAACATTATAAATGCTGAAACAAATCGTTATTATAACCATAGCCACATGAAATTGTAATTTATCATGTCATATAAAGTAATGAGTCTCTACACCAGCCTAATTGAACTTTAGTAAATCAAATGTTCCCCCATGAGTTTATGTTAACATCTTAGTAATGTTTCATCCTCACTGGTAATTAATCTCCAGCTGATTCTGAGCTGATTTTAACTTTCTGTGTTCCCAGGATTGTAAGTTAATGATCTATTCAGGAATTCTTCAGTGGCTCGGGGACCCCATCCTGGGAGTCCTTTGTAAAACAAAGAGCCTTTTTTGCAATTGGAAGACTATTCTTGATTAATCGCCCCAAATAGAAGCCATTTTAGAAATTCAAGCATGGATGTCTGAAACTGAGCACACCTTACTGGGGAAAAATCCACAAACAGCATAAGCAGCTCATTTTTTCAAAATAAGTAGTTCATTTCTTTACATTAGACAGATTTAAAGTTTTGTTTTAAGAAAAAAAAAAAAAAACATCCTAGGGAGGTGCAGTTAGAAAGTGTCAGAGGAAGTGACAGCTCAGCACCCTTCCCCTCCTCAGTCCTGCTGGGCAAACAGGACTGGGGTGCAGGAGGTGGGCATGCGCCCTAACACTGGGAAGCTGCAGGCGGCTGGGGCAGGGGGGAGAAAGGGTGCGGTCTGCTTGCAGCTGGTTCTTCAGCTCGGCTTCCAGGTGGAAAGTGACTGTGCGGACCTGTGGGTGGAGCACCAGGGCACTCCTGTGAGGCGGCTGTGCATGTTGGAGCCTTCATTTCCTAAGAGTGTGGTGCCCTGCAGATGCCAGAGTCCCCCTGGAAAGACGGGCTCTTTCCGTCCCCCTCTTAACGTGAAGGGCTCACTCCAAAAGCCCCAGGGCCTCCGGGACCAGGTGCTGTTTCAGGCTTGGGGGCCCGTTGGTGAGCAAGCAAGCAAAGGCCCTGCCTGCTGGGGTCCACTTCTGTCAGGACAGACAGGGCTGCGTCCTCCGTGTGACGGCAGGCAGGAGGGCAGGGGGGCAGGAGGGCCTGGTCGGGGCTTGGGGGAGAGTGCATTCTAAACAGAAGAACAGAGTAGGACTTGGTGGGGGGCCATCTGAGAAAGGAATTGAAGAGGACATGGGAGGGGAGCCACGAGGTGCCCTGAGGAACAGTGTTCCAGCGGAGAGGAAGCAGCCCCAGTCCCCGCTCCAGTCTGGTTTATGGTTCTCAGCCCACAGGATGTTATCACCAGGAGCATTTGGCCATGTCTGGAGGACCTTTAGTCTGTCCCTGAAGGGGGGTTGGGGGGAAACGCTACTGGCATCAGTGGATGGAGACTAGAGATGCATTAAAAATCTTACTATGCACCAGTCAGCCCCCAACAGCCAAGAATTTGGCCCAAAATGCCAGTAGTACTGAGAAACCCTGTGTCTGAGGAACATAAGGAGGCCAGGGATGCTGGAGGGAGGCTGGGAGGGAAAGGTGAGATCTGAGGGAGCAAGGACTGGGGGAGAGGCAAGGCAGGCTCAGGGAGGGCCTCAGGCCCTTGTGGACTTTGGAGGGTGTGGGGCAGAACAGGGATGTGAGATGCATGCACAGTTTTAAGAGTGCTGCTCTGGCTTCAGGTGGAAAATGGGCGTGAGGAAGGTAAGGTGGGGACAAGGGAGTCATCCTGGCAGGAGATGAGACAGGGCATAGGCCAGGGTGGAGTAACTTCAGGACTTCTGGACAGCAAAATTGTCCAGTGCCAAATTTTTTATCTTTTAGCTGTATTTTTCAAATTGTTGTGGGAAGCAGCAGTTTAGGTGTTTACCTATGCCGCCATCTTGGTTCCTCCTCAGTGCCAAATTTTAGACATCGGGTACCTGGGTGCTCTGGGGATGTCACCAATCCCACTCTGTTCATTACTATAGTTCATGTTATATTGTATTATATTATATTATATTATATTATATTATAGTCTATATCTAGATAGATAGATAGATAGATAGATGATAGATAGATAGATAGATAGATAGATAGATAGATAGATAGATAGATGATAGATCGCTGGCTGTGGTTAAATCATGTCAGCTGGATTGTTGTACACAATAGGATAGCTGATACCTGGTTTAACAATCATTTCATGACAGGACAATTGGTTGTGGGGTAGGCACAATGTAATCCTTTCCTACTCTATCACAGTCTTGGAAGAAAACAGTCACTCTTGCTAACAGCTCTTCTGTGGTATATTTTGTTAAGGCACGTATAACCCTACACAGACTAAATCTTCTGAAAATGGGATGAGGAGAGCATAAAAGTTCTGGCACCTAATAAACGGGCATTCGAATTACCTCTTTCAGAAATGTATTAACGTGTTAAAATGGTTGACCCTCTCTCACTTGACCAGCGAAAGCAAATGCCGAAAAACAGCAGAAAATACCCAAAGGCAGCGAACTCCTGCTTCTACCCAAAGGGCTCAGACACTGTAGCAGGGCCTCCTCATCCCTCCCTGCAATGGACGTCCCTAAGGCCACAGCTCTTGTCCTGTTTTAACCAGACGGTGGAGTCATGTGACAGCCTGCAGCAGCGGCCGGGCCCTCCCAGGGTCACACTCCACGTGTGCACACACTGCGTCTCCTTCCACTTACGGCCAACACATGTCATTGTCATCTTACAGAATTACCATATTTTTTTTAATCTCATGCTGTTCCAAGAAAGTGGTAAATTAGCCTCTTTGTTAGTGAAAAGTAATCTGTCCTGCAGTCTCTTTGTGGTTTTTTTCAGGAAGTTTTAAAACAGATTTGCTTTCATGAGCTTTTCATTTGTTCCATCAGGACTATTCTGGCCCCCTCCACCGCGCAGAAGTGTTACCGTGTTTCTCCGAAAATAAGACATCCTCTGAAAATAAGACCTAGCGCAACTTTGGGAGAAAAAATTAATATAAGACATTGTCTTATTTTCGGGGAAACAGGGTAGGTAGGGGAAATGTCAGGGAGGACCGCTGGGTAGTAGCCAGGTTGGGAGACTCCCATCCAGAAAATCCTTTGTCCAGGCTTTCCATGCAGCACCTACATCAGCATCCCTCCAGGGCCTGGTAAAAGCTGCAGACTCCTAGGCCCCCCACCCACCCACCCACCCACCCCTGAGAATAGGAGCCTGCCTTTTGGGGGAGCACCTTGGCTCATTCTCAGTTTGTGACCTACGATTCTAGGCTATTTTTAGTCTAGAAAACCAGCTCTGAGGACCAGCCTGCTCACAGCAACATGTTAAAAATGGACATGTTATCCCAATGAAAACCGTGCCTCTAAGGATGTTTTCTACAAGAAAGTGTGCCACCCACGGCTCAGTCTCTCTCAACAGAACCGTGTTCCTCCTGCGGAGTGTTGGAGGGTGCCTGTCGGCTGTTCTGGTGGGGAGGGGAGGGGCGGACAGTGGTCACTCCGCTGGCAGGCCTGCTGGCTCTGCCGTGCGTCCCATCCTGGCAGAGTTCGGGCGGCACTTGGGTCTAGAAGACGCTGGCAGTGGTCAAGGTCACTGTCTCACGTGACTCTTTCCTCTTTTCTCGTTGAACAGCCACTATGCCAGAGGATTATCCTGACCAGTTTGATGACGTCATGGACTTTATTCAGGCCACCATTAAAAGACTGAAACGGTCCCCGGACAGACAGATGGCCGTGCTGCCCAGAAGGGAGCGTAATCGGCAGGCCGCCGGCCCCGCCCACCCGGAGAGCCCCAGAGGGAAGGGCCGGCGGGGCTCCAGGGGCAAGAACCGGGGCTGCGTCCTCACCTCCATCCACTTGAACGTCACGGACTTGGGTCTGGGCTACGAAACCAAGGAGGAGCTGATCTTCCGGTACTGCAGCGGCTCCTGCGAGGCCGCCGAGACCATGTACGACAAAATCCTAAAGAACTTGTCCAGGAGCCGGAGGCTGGTGAGTGACAAGGCGGGGCAGGCCTGTTGCAGGCCCATCGCCTTCGACGACGACCTGTCGTTTCTGGACGATAACCTGGTTTACCATATCCTGAGGAAGCATTCCGCCAAGAGGTGTGGCTGTGTCTGACTCCGGCTCCAGAGACCGCTGTGCATGCATTCCTGCTGCGGTGCAGAGAAACGGACCAAGGTTCCCAGGAAAGGTTTGCCCAGAACGGAAGATGAGGACCAAGGCGGAGGCGGAGGAGGAGGAGGAGAGGAAGAAGACGTGTGGGAGCCTGGGACAGAGAGATCCAGCTACACAGACCTGGACAAGAGAGAGGAAACGGCGTCTGGATTCTCCCGGACAACAGCCGATGCCACCAGAAGCCCAGGGCTGGTGTCCCTGGGGCCGGAGTGGGGGTTGCCATGGTTTCATCTGATGCAACCCGCCGGCACCAGCCCACCAGCCCACCAGTCACGGGCACAGTTGGGGATGCACTTGACACTAAGCCGGTGTGTCTCCTGTGGCCTGTTCTCACACATCTGGAGACACCGGGGAAACGGAATCCTGGTGTCATTCCTTGTCATTGCGTTTTTACTGCTGAAAGCAAGAAAGGTTTATTTTTGTGTCCCTCAGTGCAGACATGCCCCGGGGAGGAGGAGGGTGGATGGGAGGCAAAGACACAGAGACAGTAGCCTTTGCATCTGAAAGGTGAGGCCTGAGGGTTACTCCCGCCAGTGTGCAGGGAGCCGCTGGCTGGTGGTTCTCTGGAGCTTGGTTCGTGGGGTGGGTAGAAGTTGGCTAGGAACTGAAAAGGCTGTCCTCAAGACTAAAAACCAACCTGCGAGTGTTTCCTCTAAGGCCTTGGAAACAGGAAACGGGTTGCGTTGTTGTTTTTTTCCCCCCGGCAGCATTCTTGCAGGAGAGCGAGCAGGGAAGGCCCCTGCTTCCCGGGGCCGGGAGACCCCGCGGCTGTCGGTTTACAGAGAGACACGTTACATACACCCCAGCTCTGGCTGTGCGTGGTCACCAGTGACCAGAGAAGCTACTCGATGCAATGCATCTGTTTCAGATAACGGAAAATAGAGAAAAGATATTTATTGAGATTTAAGTTATTGTTATTTATTACCGTTCACTTAATGAGTTTCTCTTTCGTTCCTTATTTATTAAAGTTTCTTTTCAAAGGTGCCAAAGTACATGTGCTCGCAAAATGCAAAGAAGGGTGACAAAGAAAGGTTTAATTGGGAACAAAGGGTCCGTGCTTTTCAAAGTATTAAGACATTTTCCCGCTAGGCAAAAATCACTTACTTTACCTTTTTAAGAAAAGCCTTCCTTCATTTCTCCGGATCGCAGCATCTTCTCTGTTTTCCTTTCTTTCTCTCTTCCTTTTTACAAAAGAAATGCGTCCGAAGGAGCATGTCTGGCAGACTCCCTTCCCGGGAGGCGCGTGCCGAGACCCTCAGCCCTCGACCCTTGGTTTTATGTCTTTGTTAGCTCTTATGCTCCATGGATTTAACCTCTTATTTCCCACCACACAGAGCTGTCTGTGACATGCACAACCATATATATGAAAGGTTAAGTTCCTTTTGGTGGGTGGTTCTGGACCCAACATTGGCCTAAAAGTAATATCCTGCCAGGTCTCCAGGGTTCCACTCTGAACGGAGACTCTTCCTCCATCCTTCCCGCCATTCCTGAGAGCATGCCGTGCCTGGCATGGCCAATGGGGTCTGCGGGTCACCATCAAAGCCTTCAAGGTTCCATTCAGGTGACAGTGGCTGCCCCTGTACAGTGACCCCTCCCGTGGAAGATGGCCCAGAAGGGTGGATGCGCCCCCTGAGTGTGCCACGTTCCAATGAACGTCCTGGAGGGGAGGCGGGCGAATGGGAACAGCCACCTCCTAGAGCCCAGACCCCAGCCCATGGGTTGCCGGCAGCTGGTGCCTGCACAGTCCACCGTGCTCTGTGCCAGAGCGTGGGGCGCGCTTCATGAAAGGAATTTTTACCGAGGAGATCCTCTGTCACTGCCTGAGTGGCTGCTAGCTCCCACGTCTGACAGGGTTAGCCACAAAAAGACCCCACTGGCCTCCCTCGAATCCTATTAATCTCACAAAGTAACCAGGAGGCAGCAGTTACCAGACATCCCTCTCCCCAACCCCAACACCCACGCTTGCCATCCTTCTCCCCTTCTCCGTCCCTTCTCGCACAACTTGGGAATGGAGGGAAGGCGCTCCCTCTCCCCAACCCTCCTGGGGCCAGAGCGGGGGCACCCAGCCCAGCCCTCTGGTCACACCGGAAACAGCTAGATGCCACCCCACCCAGAGGCGTCTGTTCCATCCAGAGGCCTGGCAAGCTTGGGGGCTGGTGTCCCGGGGGGCCACTCAGTGAGCCCCAGCTCCCCGTGGGAAGCCCCTGCCCAGAGGGCTGTAGGACTCGGTGGGGTCCTTCCCACACACCGTAGCATCGCCTGCACACCCAGCCGGTTCTAACGGAGCCCGTCCTCGCCAAGTGCACGGAAGGGTAAAGTCTGTGATTTTTCTCTGTCGTTGCGATCACCGCCTGGTCCAGTGAAGAGGGCCCTTCTTTGAAAGTTCTGACTTCTCTGATCTGTCTCGGTCGTTTGTGTTACTCAACCAAAGTTCTCTACAGACTTTATTTTTGTACAATATCATTTTGTAACTTTTTACAAATAAAAGCTCATTTCTATTGCTCTCTGTCCTTCTGTGCTTCCTCAGGGGCCTGGGCCCAGGGCTGGGCCAGGCAGCCGTCCACAAGCACTCTGTCCCCTTCCCCACCGCAGAGCTGCTGGTTGGTCATTGGCCTTGCCCATCAACTCTCCACAGCCAATCCCCACCCAAGTAGGAAAAAACATCCTTTGTTCACGCAACAGACAGTTAGGGGGTGTCTACACTGTGCCAGGTGCTGTTCCAGCACCAGCCCCCGCCCCCCCCCCCCAAGTGGCCAAACATAAGCCTCTGCCCTGTGGAGTCGATGTGTCATTTGAGTGGAGAAGTACAATATGCAAAAAAGGAAGAATACCTAGCAATCCAGGTGGTGACAAATGCTATCAGGAATCCAGTTAGGCCAGTGGTCGGCAAACTCATCAGTCCACAGAGACAAATACCAACAGCACAACGATTGAAATTTCTTTGGAGAGCCACATTTTTTTTTAAACCTAAACTACTTCTAACGCCACTTCTTCAACATAGACTCGCCCAGGCCGTGGTATTTTGTGGAAGAGCCACACTCCAGGGGCCCACGAGCTGCATGTGGGTCGCGAGCCGCGGTTTGCCGACCGCGGAGTTAAGATGTCAGAGTAGAAGATAGCACGGCGCTTGTGTTAGAGGCGACACGGAGGCGGTACTTGAGGAGGAGCTCATCCTGGCCAGCCCCACGGGGCACACCCCGGATGGAGCCCCCTCCACAGACTTGAGAGACGCCACTCACACCAGTTCTCTGTGCAAGGCAGCAGCACCCCGGAATTGTGCAGATGAGCGCCCTGAGCTCAGTGTGTTCTGGGCGAGAAAAACACACTGAAAAGAGGAGATGGTTGGGGAGGAGAGCACGTCTGCTCCTCAGATGGCAAGCCCCGGGGATGGCCCAGGCGGCCTTGTCACTGTTCAAAGGTGGCCTTGGGAGGTGTTTTCAACCCCACACAAAACCCGGTGCTCTTAACGCTCTCTGAGTGGCCGCCAGCACAGGCTCCCGGCACAGGGCAGGGCCTGCCTGAGCCACCTGCCCTCCCCACGACTCCCTGACTCCTCAACTCCCCAACTCCTGACTCCGACTATGGGCTCAGCAGCAGTGAGTGACTCCCCGACTCCGACCCTGGGCTCAGCAGTAAATACCAGACAAGGCGCCCCGAGGCCTGCAGGCTTCCTCTCGCCACATTGTGGCACGAAGTGAGGGCCTTGTGGAGGGAATGCAAAGGTTGTAAAGCACTTGCTCACTCCCACTCCCCCAGGTGTGCTCCCAGGGTGACTGACTGGCTGAGTAGGGTGCCCCTCAGAAAAAAGCAGGCTGGGGAGGTAGTTCCCTGATCAAATAAGTTTAGAAAACATTTGAGTTCAATAAGATCAAACCGTGTCTGTTGTTTGTTTTGTTTTTTAATTAAAAAGAGGAGTGTGGCCCTAACTGGTTTAGCTCAGTGGGTAGAGTGTCAGCCTTTGGACTGAAAGGTCCCAGGTTGTGGGCACATCCCCGGTGGGGCATGTGCAGGAGACAGCTGGTCAATGTTTCTCTCTCATCGATGTATCTAACTCTCTATCCCTCTCCCATTCTCTCTGTAAAAAATTATAATAATAATAATAATAACAATAATAATAACAATAATATAAATAGATATATATAGATATAGATATATAGATATAGATTTTTTTTTAAGTGAGTGATCAGAAGCTCCTGAGCCTAAGTCCCCAAAACAGAAGGCCCTCCCCCTCACCGCAGGGACCTGCTTGGGCCACTATTGATGTGCTGTTTGATGCCAGACCTGCAAGGGGTGGGAGCCCAAGAGCCCACACTGCCCACCTCTCAGGGCTGCGGCCGGGAGGGTGGAGGTGTCGACCACAGGCTGGGCTCGGCCATGGCTGGCTCCACCAGGTAATGAGCTGTCTGCTCAGGACATGTATCTGGTAACAGCGGTGTCGCTGTGATCCCATGCAAGAGTTAACTTCCCGCCTCATCACAAACATCCTGAGTGAAAATAAACCCCATGCGATGATGCTGCCACGTCACCCCCCAGAGTAACCGGATCGGGGAAGCGAGGGAAAGCACCACTTGCTCATGTGTGACACCTCCCGCTGTGGCAGGTGAGGGGACGATGACACAGACGGGCGGGGGAGTGTGGTGACAGGTGCACAGAGAGTGCTGGAACGCCTTCGGGGCAGCAGGTGGAAGGAGACCTGAGCGGAAAAGGAGTCAGGGACCACGGAGGGGAGCCAGCTCCTTGGAATCTCGGATAAACCGCACCGTTTCTTCCTCTGACTCTGTCTCGTGTGAGACCTGGGACGTGAGATGTTTGGGACAGGCTTAGGCTAAAATGATTACTCATTGTTTATCTGAAATTCAGCTGGGCATCCTGTGTTTTAATTTGCTAAACCTGGCAAGGGACGGTGACATTCGAGCTGGGCCTGGAGTCCGGGCAGGCGTCTG